CTTGGTAACAAGCAGATACGGGTTACTGTTACATACTACATTGGGTTTTTTTGACAATTTGTACATCTAACGTGCCCAAACGCCAAATGGGCCAAACCAACGTTATCCTATCGGACACCACACATTTTCTCAGAGTCTCAACGCTCCCAAAATCTCAGCCTCATTTCACCTTCCCACAAAATTATGGCGAGTCTCCAATTTCCTTTCTTTCCTCTCACCAAACTAAACCACCCCACCAAACTGCACACCACCACCAGCCAGCGGTTCACCAGCAAGCCACACCCCGGCTCGCTTAGATCCTCAGCCACCATTGTCCGGTCTTACAAAGTGGTGATAGAGCATGAGGGTCAGTCAACAGAACTAGAGGTGGAGCCTGACGAGACCATTCTAGCCAAGGCACTGGACTCTGGCATGGATGTGCCTCATGACTGCAAGCTTGGGGTCTGCATGACTTGCCCTGCTCGACTTGTGAGCGGGGAGGTTGATCAGAGTGAAGGTATGCTCAGTGATGATGTGGTGGCACGTGGGTACACACTGCTATGCGCTTCTTATCCGAAATCAGATTGCCATATCAAGACCATCCCTGAGGATGAGTTGCTTTCCCTGCAGTTAGCAACTGCTAATGACTGACTCCATTTTGAGTGGCTTGATGTTTAAGTAAAAGTTTTTGATTTTGTTTATCCTTTTGGAATGTTGAATGATTTGATATTTAGGTTTTTCAATCACGCAAATCATGACAAAAAAGCAATAGAGGGGTTATCAATTACATGAAAATGGTTGAACCCCAATGCATCACAATTCTTCCAGGATATGCCTAATAAAGTGACATTTTAACACTTTGTTCTGTTTCTTTCATAAATCATAAGAATTGAAAAAGTATTGGACACAAGGATTATATTTCACCTGAAGTGGTAACTCCGTGCATCCTGTTGCCATTTGCACGCTATCCTGGGAGATGGAAAGGTGCAAAACTGAATTCGGAAAATCTTGACACTTTCAGGGGCACTTTCAGGGTCTGTCCACCTCACAATGTCGGCAAAATTGAGCAACTAGTCTTTATCCCTACAAATCATATGCTATGTAGGAAGTGCAACAATTTCATGTTCCAATGAGAGAAAGCATGAGTGTTGGCTTGCTGAGACCGTGAGACATAATCTTGCATTATGCAGGTTTTCTGGCAAACAGTTTGATGCCAGAATGAGATAACAGACTGGAGCAGATAAAGAAGCCAATGCAGCAACATAAATGCTTTTAAATTATAGATGCCTGGGTTGCTTTCTTGGGTCTTCTTTGCTTAAGCTTGACTTTCACATTCACACCATTGTCAATAATAGACTGAAGAACAATCTGAAGCTTTCCCTCCAATTTCTCCCCTTTCCTTGGTGTGTAAATCACATCGTGGATATCATCTGCCAATGCTCTCTGAGCAAGAATTTCCCCAACAGTAGCACAAGCAGCAGCATTCCTAGTGGAAGCCAGGTCAAATTTCATGTCCTTAGAAATAGAATGAGCCACGGTAACAACCTTGCTAGTTGCTCGGTGAACAATGCATGCTCGAACAGATGCTTTCGATATGTAAATATCTAGGCAAAATGGTTCATGGTATGGACCTGTGAGTTGATTAAAGGTTGGTGTTCTAACCTTCTTTTCCCCCATGCTAGAAGTCTCCACTTTACCAATAATATCAGTATCACTTCCATTCTTTACCACTTTGAGTGGTTTTTCCCCTCCAGAGGCTGATTTAGCACCAATCTTCTCCTTCTTCTTACCTTCCTTAGGATCATCCTTTTTCTTCGAAGATTCCTTCTTTTCACTTCCAATTTGATCATCCATCTTCTTTGAGGTTTTCCTCCTATGGAAGTCATAACTGTACTCCTCAAACTCTTTGGAACCTCGATCAATCTTATAGAAAAGATTGCCACGAATTCTCATATTATCAATTTCATCAAAATCATGATCACCAACAGTAACAGGAGAATCATATTCTACCTTTTGATCAGCCTGTTGGGTAAAAGATGTAGACTTGATTTTTGTATCAAAACCTCGCCAATTGTGAGCTAGATCAGATGAAACTTGCCAAGTATCATTGTCCACAACCTCAATGTCATAACGTGCTGACTGAGGAGTGCTATCACTGAACAAGGGTGAAAGATGGATCCTACTAGAGTAGTTTGTTGAAGCAACTTCCCGGTTACCCTCTTTACCAATGATGTTGGAGGCTCTCGAGCAAAAGCAGCAAACTCTTAACAGGGAATGTCGATTGACCACGGTACCTCTCCTCAGAAGGGTTAATATCATTTTGGATGTTCTCTGTCAGGTCCAATGCTTGTACCTTCTAATTTGGAAATCCCATCTGAAGTTATCTTTCCTGATAAACTGTGAAATCAAAAAACTTAAGTTTAACCAGTTCAACCGTACCTTTCAGACAAAACAATAATTTTATTAATCATCAAAGGATCATAGCCATAATCATCCATATGTTAACCATTGCAGATCAAACTGTCCCACCCAACTACACCATAGGGAAAATATTGAAGTTAAAGGGGTTAAAACACCCAAACGCATCATCATCAGGAATACCTATAACTACTTAAGCAACCAAATGCATGTGAGCTCATTGAGTAATTCCAAAAACCCTTGGCAACCCAAATTTATTTCTGTTATCCTAATAAAAACTGCACTCAACTATTCTTCAACTAAACTCTCAAAACCCCAATATGCATAATTGCAAGCTCATTGAGCAAAAAAATCAAACACCTTATCTGCACTGCGCATTCAGACCAACTAAAGCCTAACAACCACTATGGATATTAAAAAAAAAAATCCCAAAACTTCATCCAACACAAACCATGAATAATTGTTAAAATTTCTAAATTAAAATTAATTAGTGATGACAAACCTGGAACTTGGAGTTACAAGGCAGGTACCAGTATTTAATCAAAGCAGTTAATCTGAATATCAATAGAAGAAAAGAGTTAAGTTACAACTTACAACCCATAAAATTAAATAAATAAAATTAAAGACAGGCAATTGGTCCTTCAGTGACAAATGTGAAATCCTCTGTTTCCAGTTGACAAAAATCCATTTGAAATTGGTACATATAACATGGAAAAGCATATGGACCAAAAACGAGGATTTAGGTGGCTTTTCCGCTATAACCAAACAATATGAATATCGTACAAATTAAGCGGTAAAGAAAACAAACCTTGCAGGAACTATGTATGTTTCAAGAAAGAGATGGCAGGGGAGAGGAGAGAAAAAGAAGAACGAGTCGCATTCGCATAGTAAATGAGAGGATAAGGATGTGGGCTGTGGGAGAAGAGTTAGTGGGTCACTGTCGGCCTAGGTGCTTTGGAATTGGGCTTCCATGCTATTGATATATTCATTGATGTTTGTTGCGTATTGGGAGTTTGGGACTCTAGCTTTGAGTTTTCAACCAGCTCATTGGAATCTTTTTTTTTTTTTTTTTAAAGTTT